AAAAAAAGCAAAGAAAGCGAAAATACTCAAAAACTAGTATTTAAATTGACCTTTGTGGACTAATAAAAAATAACGGGGATGAAATTTTACATATAAAAAACACCAAATTATCGCCAAAGCTAACAACCATAACGTCCTAATCCTAAACTTCTATTTTTACGCACTTAGTTATTTACAAAGTTGATTTCCTTTTTTGTTTGTGTTACCGGCGCAAATAAGTAGGCCTAGTTGGTTCAATTATTCGGCCTACTACATAAGTACTCGTGTAACGTCGATCCCAAAAGTTTTAGGATTTGAATGTCCCCTATGCTCGTACTACATTCTTGGCATTAGCGTTAGGGTATTACGTTAGCATTTCATATTACTGTATTTTCCGCATTATTGGTTATCTGCATTGCTGGTTGCCTGTAATACATAATAAAATCTCTAAGGTTAAAAATTTAATTAATAATCATTATGTAACTGATATTCTTTTACGTAAATGAATAATTATTTTTATAAATTCTCCGTATTAGTTATAAATTAGTAAAGATTGTAATTTTTTTTCAATACATAGACAAGTTTATTATCTACGTATTTAATTGATAGAAATTTTTAAAAATTTTTGCTCCATAAAACTAAGATGATTAATAAAGAAAAACAAATAAATTATAAAAGAAATATATTTAATCAATATAAAAATTATGATGAATTAGATATAAATGAAGTATCTTCAATATTATTGGACCAGTATAAAATAATCGGTGGAAGGAAGTTCTTAAATGCTCCTGAAGCAAATTATTGTATGCCATCAGATGAAACGGAACTTAGGAGAATAGAGATTGCTCATATGTTAAGACGATATTCATGGAAAGGTAATTTTTGTGCACCAGTTGAATATATGCTGAAAAATTGTAAAGCTAACGTTCTCGACGCTGGGTACGTAATTGCACAAATTTGAGGTTTTCTTTATGAGCTTCCTTAATTAATAGATTAACATTTTATTTACTTAAAGGTGTGGGGCAGGTTGTTGGGTATTTGATTTAGGAAACGAATTCCCAAATTCAACATTTATTGGTATAGATATTCAATCAAGCGGATTTCCACCAGTAAATGAACGTCCTCCAAATACAGGATTTTTAGAATATAATTTAATAAGTGGAATTCCATTTCCTGACGAAACGTTTGATTATGTTCATGTGTCATCAATGTGGTCAGCGTTTACTAAACAACAGTACATAAATGTAATCCATGAATTAGTACGTGTAACGAAATACAACGGATGGATTGAGATTTTCGAACCCAATATGGATTTTAAAAATTTGGGAAATTCTATGAAAGGTGTTCAAGATGCTTGTAAGTTTATATAAATAACAGTGTTGTTCAATTTGACCAATTTTATCCATTAAATTTATAAACTGGAACTTATTGATTTAAATTGAAATTTATAAGTCTAATTCAATTATTAGGCTTATAAAGTGCCCAACAATGATACATATAATGTATTTATAATTCACGTATTCTAAAAATTAATTACTTTTATTTATAGTTCATACAAAGTTAAAAGAAAATGGGATCGAACCAATGATATTTTTAGAGATATCTAAATGTATAAGATCATTTAATGAATTAACTAATATCGAACACAGGAAATTGAACGATTCAATAGGAGGATGGGCAGGAAGATATGGAGAATATGTACGTATTAATATTATTGCGTATATTTTAGCATGACCTTTGGTTATTAATCGTAGTTATTTTAGGTGTTGGAGGCTATTCAACAACTTTATGAATCTGCTACTTATATGGCAGACTATATGGGAATTTCCCAAAGCGATTATCAAAAATTAATTGAAGATTTCGATAATCAATGTAATAAAAATCGTACCTATATAGAAACACATAGCTTTTTTGCTAAAAAAGTAAAAATTTTAGAAACACAATAATATATTTATCGGTTGAATAAAAGCTTCACTTTTATGTGATTTGAGTAATTTTGTACCTAGTTGTTGTATCAAAGGGGTTTGTCTGCTGCATGTTGGCATTTTTCGGGGACAAAAGCAGGAATTTTACTTAATAAGCTGAAATGTTACACCGTAAAACTTCGGGATTTTTTCTTTGTTCTCATTTATAATTCGAATACCACCAGTCACGAGCAGTATTAAAATTTTGATGTTCTCGATGTTTTCTAAGAACATTACTTTTCTAGTTTTTTATTAATAGAACATATTTATATGTAAATAATTGTTTGAGATCAATTAGATTTCAATCCTGGTTACGAGTATGTAGTAAAGTTGTATAGTATGAGGACACAAATTAAGATGGTCGTGCGGAAATTGACGGTCGTAAAATAAAATTTCTTCATGCCAAAGCTATTTTACCTTTAACCTATCTTTATCTTAACATGACAAAAAGACAATACTCATGGTTGCCTAACCCTAACCATTCATTATAAATGGGTAAAATTGAGTTTTGTATGTTAATGTTAATCGTATTGTACTATCAAAAATTTCGCATGTCCGATCGATCTGTACTATTATTTTACTAATTCACAGTTATTTGGTTGCACCAAAACCGTACGTACGGTCTCATTGTTACGTAACTTTAATTATCAATAAAATAATTTCAATCTAAACTATAACTTATATTGGTGAACGTCATCCAATTATTACTATATAATAAATAAATTTGTTTTAGTGAACCCTTTTATAATGATATATAAGTGCTACAAAACGAAAACTATAATTCTTCATCTAATAGGAATTACATGTTTTTCTTTGCGATGTTCATGCCTAAATATGTTAGGTGATTTGTAATCAATAATCTGATTTCTGATTTCGAATAAAATTAGTGACATATTTTTATTTCGAATAAATTCTATTTTTTGTATGTGATAATTTATTCAAAATATTCCTATTTCATTTTTGATTTCCAAATTTCAAAATAGCAATAGGTTTTTTAAACTAAACTACCATCATATTTTATAACATTAGAATTCATAGTTTGCTGATATTTGTGCAATTAATGCGAATATTCTTAGTCCGTAACTATATTTAAATTTTAACTACAGTAAACTGCCAGCTTGTATCTGGGTATTTACAAAAACTAGAAATATACTCGCGATATGTTTCTCGTTCAACTTTGCCAGTCTTCAATGGTTTACACCAGCTAGATATACTTTAAAGTATAAATATGCTATTATTCGAGATATAATAAGGATTTTATCCAGATATAAATCGAATTTATCCGCAGAATACCTCGGGTACAACTTATAGTTAGCAGTTTATAGTTGTTGTCTGACACGAAATGTAACCTCATTAATCCTATGCGCAGCTATCATGCCAAACGTCACGTTTTGAAAAACATAAACCATCCAATTAGTTGCGCATATATTTATTTACAAAATTTAACAAAATTAATAATATTCTGACTATCTAATGATAAAAAAAATAAACAAAAAAAGTTCGAATTAAAAAAAAAACTTTGAAATTAAACTTTTAAATCTATTTAAAAACTACTATGTTTTTTTGTGTTGAAGGTATTATGACGCACTATGTGTTTCATATTGTACTACTACATCCGTCTTCTAGATATTGTCAGAATGAGAGAAATACATAGTAATTAAAAGAAATATTGAACATGTGAATCATAATATTTGACTTGTAATAAAAGCTTCAACTATTGGGAAGAGTTAGATACCATTCAAATGTCATCAAACACTATGGAGTCACAAAAGGTATATATACAGTTTAAGAATTTCTATAGATATAACAATAACTATATTTATAACTGATATGTTATATTGCAAATAAATTGAAGACCGTTGATATTATAGTCTTAGTATACGCGGATGAAGGAAAGCAAATTTTACAAACTGCAATGGACAGATAAATTACATATTGTCGCTTTTATTCTTATACGAGAATAATGTTATTCATAAAGACCTTGTAATATTTGTTATTTCATCAGCAAATTTACATTTCTAAAATTTGCTATGATTGTTTATAAATTCACTAATGTTTAATTTATTTTATATATATATATACATTCAAAAAAATATTTATTACAACCAAAGATTATAAATTTGGATGGTTAAAACAGATAAGGGAGTTGACGATGTCTTCAAACTCGAAGATTAATGGAATGCTAACATACATAGAACTTCAGTGTTTTATTATGTCAGGAAATAAATGTGATAAGGAATCAGATATCTATAGCTTTGGAGTAATTTTTTGGGAAATTTAAGTGAAAAGCCACCATTTAAAACATAGAATCAAAAATAGAACTCTGTTTTCACATATTCAAAGTATAAAGGGAAAAAAATTATAAAAGATGCACCATTTCAACTTTACGAACAATGTTGGGACAAGGAAACTAATAATCGTACAGAAATAGATTTAATTCTCAAAACTTTAGGTGAACTTACGAATGAATTATCGATTAAAAATATGAAATCTCCTTTAAATTAAGACATAAAATTGTACTTTATTTGTCTGATACCTATATGACTTCTTTGAATCTTCGACGCAAAAAGCTTGGACAGGAGGTTGAGGAGCATTATTATTAAATATGCTTAGCAAGAATACTTCCCAGACTTTCTCATATCTTCCAAGATAATCAACTTGGGTCAGAGTGAGGAAAGGCATTAGCTGAGGCACTTAGCAAGAATACTAGCCTGAAATTTTAGGCCTTAGACATATCAGTTTAGTTTAGATTATAATGTGAAAATCATTAGCGGATGCATTTTGAAAAACACCACCCTGATTTCTTTGGATCTTCGAATAAATGAATTGATCAGAAGTAAGAAGAGCACCTTGTAATAATACCACCCTAACATCTTTGAATCTTTGGGTTAGAAGGGAAAAGCGTTAGAAGATGCACCTGCAAAAACTGACTTTGAATTTTTTGAAGCTTAATAATAATAATTTGGGGTCAGAGGGAGGAAAGGCATAAGCAAACGCATTTTAAAAACGTACTCTACATCTTTGGATGTTCGATATAATGAACTTGGATCAGTGGTATGAAAAGTATTAGCAGATGCATTCTAAAGAACACTATTTTGACTTCTTTAGATCTTCTGTTTAATGAACTCGGGTCAGAAGGTGTAAAAGCATTAGATGAAGCGTTTTGCAGAGGCAGACTTTTATTTTTGATCTTTTGAACAATAATCTTGAAAAAAAGCAGAATATAATATAATGCTAACATGTTATTAATATATTTATATTAGATTAAACAATAGAATAATTTTGTAAATTTTGTATTATTATATGTCTATACAATTTACAAAATACAAAAAAAAAGTTATTTATATTAACTATAATCCATAATGGAATTAAAAGATTTATTTACTTAAAAAATTATATTGTAAACTTTTTAATAAATTATCAAGCTTCATGTAATGAAACCATCAATAATAACTATTTATTTGAATATTTTTGTATCTATATCTTTAAAATCTTTTATTATTAATTTTCTATATTTATCAAGAATTTTATTAACTAATTTATATTATAACATTCACTCGAATTGTTTTTTGTAAAAATTGCAGGTGAGAATATTTCTAATTAATTGATATTTAATCTTATAGGAATATGTTAATAAATAATTAACAATTCATTAAACAAAAATCTACAAATAATAATTTTACTATAGAATAGTTTCTGTTATTACTATATCTATTAGAAATTTCTATATTAATTCTGTACATTTAATAATGAACTTTCAACACATGAATAGGTGCAAGACATGTTATGACATACAACCGGTTGATGAACATCTCATAATTCCACCATCAAAGTAGTGAAGAAATGGGTCTGGATATGTACAGACATCACCTATAGGATCTCCTACAGACTTGGATGAATACAAACAATTATAATGATTATTGTCAAACACCCACTGAATACAATCATCGTTATTGAGACAAGCTATACAACATTCTAATGATGTTTCAGCATAAAAAGATACCATTGTACTATAGCTGTGCAACCATCCATAACCGGGATCTCCCCATTTACAACAATAAGGAGTGATAATTGGTGCAGCTGCCGTAGTAGTGGTGGCTTCATTATTGGTAATTCTCTCGATGGTGGCTATTGCAGTTGTGCTAGTTGCTGAATCTGTATTAGTCATTGCAGTCATAGTAGTAACTGAATATGTGGTGGTAGCTGTAACTACTGGATTAGCAGTGGCAACCATTTCAGTTGCCGTGGTAGTAACTGAATTTGTAGCTGTGGCTAAAGTTATACTCGTTCCTGAATCTGGATTGGCCATTAAAATAATTACTGGATCAGTAGTGACGGCCATTGTAGTTGTGCTAGTTACTGAATCTGCAGAAGTATCGGTAGCAGTTGTGGAGGTGACTAGATCAGTGGCGATAGCTGCTATTACTGGATCAATTGTGGCAGTTGCGCTAGTTGCTGAATCCGAATTTGCCACTGTAGTCATAGTGGTAACTGGATCTATGGTGGTAACTGTAATTATTGAATTAGTTGTGGCAACCATTGCAATTGTGCTAGTTGCTAAACCTGTATTAATTATTGCAGTCGTAGTAGTAAATGAATCTGCAACTGTGGCTGCAATTACCGGATCAGTAGTGACTGCTATCGAAGTTGCACTTATTGAATATTTACTAGCTAATACAAAAGTTGTGGCTGGAAATACTGGACGAACTGGACGATTGATGGTGAATATTGAAGTTGGGCTTGTACTAACTATTGCAGAAGCTTTGGTTGCAGATACTGGAAGAAATGGACGAATATAAACAGTGGTTTCAAAAGGTGTTATATTAGTTGTGGAGATAGCTGGATTAATGTTAGTAGCTGTAATTGCTGAATCAATGGTGGGAACTATTGTAGTTGCTGAATCTGTATTAGCTATAGTAGTAACTGGATCTGTGGTGGTGGCTATTGTGGTTGTTGTACTAGTTGCTGAATCTGCATTAGCTATTGCAGCAGTAGCTGCAACTGAATCAGTTGTGGCAGCTATTGAAGTTGTGCTTGTTGTAGCCGTAGTAATAACTGAAAGTACAGATTTGGCTGCGATTACTGGATGAGCAGTGGTGGTTTTTGCAGTTGCTGAATCTGTATTAGCTAATATAGTCATAGTAGTAACTGAATCTGTGGTGGTGACTGCAATCACTGGATTTGTGGTGGCAGCTATTGTGTTTATACTAGTAGTGGTTATTACAGTCGTGGTAGTAATTGGATCTGTGTTGCTAGCAGCGATTATTGGATCATTGACGACTATTGCAGTTGTGCTAATTATTGAATATATTGCAGTTGTAGTGGCAATAGGATATATGGTAGTAATTGAAATCACTGGGTTAGTGGTGGTGGTTATTGTGGTTGTACTAGTTGCTGAACCTGCATTAGCTACTGCAGCAGTAGCTGCAACTGAATCAGTAGTAGCAGCTATTGAAGTTGTGCTTGTTACTGAATTTGCATTAGTTAGTGTAGCCGTAGTAGTAATTGAATCTACCGATATGGCTGCAATTACTGGAAGATCAGTAGTGGTTACTACAGCTATGCTTGTTGTTGAATCTGCGATAGTTGTAGTTTTCATAAAAATAACTGGGTTATTGGTGGTGGTTATAATCATTGGATCAGTGCTGGCGGCTATTACTGTTATGCCAGTTGCTGAATCTGCAGAAGTATGTATTACAGTTGTGGAGGTAACTTGATCTACATTGAAAGCTGCAATTACTGCAGTTGTGTTGGTTGCTGAATCTGTAGGAGTAGCTATTGCAGTCGTGGAGGTAACTCGATAGGTAGTAATAGCTGCAATAATTGGACCAATGGTTGCAGATGTGCTTGTTATTCCAGCCGTGGTGATGTTATCAATGACGATTGCTTTGGTCGTAATGGTTGTAATGACTTTGAAGGGAGTGGAGGCAGCATTTGTCGTAGTGATTGCATTGACTTTGGCAGAAGTCGAGGCTATTTTCTTGGTGACTGTTTTGACTTTGAAAACAGAAGAGGCTTTAGTCTTGGCAATTACATTGGCTTTAGTAGGAGTGGAGGCAGTATTTGTCGTAGTGATTGCATTGACTTTGGCAGGAGTGGAGGCTTTTTTCTTAGTGACGGTTTTGACTTTGAAAGCAGCAGAGGCTTTAGTCTTGGCGATTACATTGGCTTTGGTTTTAGTGATTGCATTGGCTTTGAAAGTAGGGGAAACGCCCTTGGTTGTAGTTACTGCATTTGCAGTAGTGAGTAACTTGATATTGTTAGTAGAAATGGTTTTAGGCGCGTTGGTTGTAGTTATTGCATTTGCAGTAGTGAGTAATTTGATATTGTTGGTAGAAATGGCTTTAGGTGCGTTGGTTGTAGTTATTGCAATTGCAGTAGTGAGTAATTTGATATTGTTGATAGAAATGGCTTTAGGTGCGGTTGTTGTAGTTATTGCATTTGCAGTAGTGAGTAATTTGATGTTGTTGGTAGAAATGGCTTTAGGTACGTTAGAATTGGAGACGGTAGTTGAACTGAATTTTAAGTCACTTTTATTGCTGGGTTGACTAGAATTAGTTCCATGTGCAAAAATGAGAAATAAGGATAGTATTGTGAAATGAATTGTTTGTATGTTTAATTTCATGATTTATTCTATTAATGATGAAATAAGTGAAGGTTTCATGTTAATGAATTTCGAGAATCTTTTGTAAAGATTTTATACTGTAAGAAAAAGGCAACAAAAAATCACAAAACATTATTACTGTATAAAAAGGAAAAATAATAATAATCGCTATATGCATTAGATTTATTAATTAATTAATCCTTCCATTGACTAAATGGCTCTGATCATTTCCACTTAGGATTATGGCTGTCGATGTTTGTTACAGTACATACGTACGTACGTACAGTACATACGCAAGTGCGGATAATTTAATAAATTTGGGTCACTAATCCAACAGCGATAGTTATTAAAAGATAGTATTATGCACAATTTTAAGATTGACGATATGATTAATAAGGAAATGATTGTTAACTTTATTTTATTTCCTTTTTTTTGTGTCTGATTTATCTTTATGAGGGACTTTATACAAGTTAGTATTACGTTGAAGCAATATTTACATACAGAAGAATCGGATTTTTACTAAGTGCAATTACAGGAAAGATAGAAAGAATAACAATAATCATCGCTAACACGATACTACTAAAAGTATTATTTCATTCCTAATTGTAATTCGACTTATCCTCCAAAACATACTGTGAAGGCATCCTTTATATATCTTTCCATTTTTTGATCTTTCCACGGCAGTATTGGCTCTCACCGTTAGTTCTTTACTTTTCCTGATAGTTATTAACTATCAGCAACCAGTTCTAATAGTTACTAACAATTACTAACTAGTTTCAATACGTAGTTACCAACCATCAGTAACCAGATTCAATAGTTTGTAACTAACGATCGATCCGATTCCAAAACCCACAGTTACCGATCTTGTAATACAAGTAAATTAAATACAGCAACAGTAAACAAATAAATTTATTAAATTTCCATATGAGGCATAACAACATGCGTACGTACGTAGGTACGCTTTTACCAGTTATTGTGATCTACTACATTTCCTTTTTGACTAAAACCGTTAAGACTTCCATGAAAATCATATCATACTATATAGTACTAATTGTACAAATCTATCTGCGTTGCATTTGCCCAAAAACTTTTATCACATTCAGATTTTATTTATAATTTTTTGATTTTAGCACAAGAATTAAATTTTATTAATGATCTTTATTGAGAACAAGGTCCTTGCACAGCTGACAAAATCTCGGGAGCAATTAACTGTAAAATCGTGTCCTCGTACTACCTTTGCTGTCGCAGAGCACAAAACTAGATTCTTGTACTTCAACTGCAGCAGTGGAACCTACCACTATCTACAGTACTATTTTAGATTAATAAGCTAGAATCCTCACATTACTCTAAAATGTCGAATTACTACATTTACTACTGGGGTGTTCGGTTAGGGTTGCGCCTCGACTAATAAAATCAAATACTAATTAAGTTATATAATAATTTACATATACCCAAATTTTTAGGTTACACAACAATGTTTTTAATAAATTATATAAAAAAAGTAATAATATCTAGCGAATAAATTTTTTTCACTAGCAATTGGAAAATTAAAGTTTATTTTGTTGAAATTTTGTTCTTTAAATATTAATGAATATGACTAATTTTAACTCCGGGTGATTTTCGATAATTTTAACCCGGGTGATTTTCGATAATTTTAACCCCGGGTGATTTACGATAATTTTAACCCGGGTGATTAGTGTTCCGCAGATCCGATCCGAAGACCCGGATCCGATCCGGATCCGGTGGTCGGATCGGTCCCAAACAGGGACCCGTAAAATTTTAGTTCTAAAAACTCAAAATTTTTTCTGATAACAATAAAAAATTTAGGCGAATTTTAGCTTAAATTTGAAAATTTTAGGTAAATTTTGATTTAAATTTAGTAAATTTTAGATAAATTTTGATTAAGTTTAGAAAAGTTTTATAGTTCATTCTTTTATTTTGTTAAAATATTTAATAATTCAGTATTTAAATTTTGTCGATTGTTATTAAATATAAAATTAGAAACTAAGTCACATAAATTTATGTCAAACTAATCATATAGTGTATACCCTAGAAGTTAAATAAGTTAAGTTTGTATAAAATTTTTATTAAAAATAAAATACGTATCACTAGGGATAAGCAAATCAAATATTTTTTTGAATCTACTGTGGCCCACATTATAGTTTACTGCTAATGCAGGCCAGAGTTGTGAAATTCCGAAATATTCCGAAATTCCGAAATGTTCCACCTGCACAGCATCCCATTCCTATGTATCACAAACTATAATATAATAAGGAAATTTTTAGAAAATTTTAGTTAAAATCGAAAATTTTAGATATAAATTCCTTAGAATTTAAAAATTTTAGAAAATTTGAGTTGATACTTGAAATTTTAGATTTTTTGTGAAAATTTTAGATCTAAAATTTTACGGGTCCCTGGTCCCAGATCCATGATTTATAGGATCCGCCAAATTCGAATCCATATTGAGGATCCGATCCGAAAGATCCGTTGGATCCGCTCACGCCGATTGGCTGTATTTAGTAGACTCTGATTGGTTAGTTTAGTGATTGTACCTGCATGAGAGTCACCCGGATAATCTGTCATAGGACGAAGTTCGTATGATTGGCTAATTTATATCAATTAAAACGTGATCATTGACCAATCAAACCTTAAATTTTGCAAGTATTGTAGGCTTTTATTATTATTAGCGAAGCTTTACATTTAATTTTACATTCAAATCGTAATTTATTTTCATTCACCACAAATACTACTATAATCCTTAGTTTATATAATAATGAGCAATACCACTCATTGTCCGAAGCGAAGCGTAGGACTCATACTTCTACGTTAAGTGATAACCAAAATTACCTTTTTGATATATTTATAG